AATGTTTTCTCTGATATAAGGAGGCTGACTCATAGTGGGGTATGGAGGGGGAGCATGGGAGGTATAGATGAATTCTAGATAGGGCAGAGGGGTGGGAGGGAAAGGGAGAGAGCAGGGGATTAGAAAAKATGGTGGAATGTGATAGACATCATTACCCAAAGTACACAYATGAAGACACAAATTGGTGTCAACATACTTTATATACAACCAGAGATAAGAAAAATTGTGCTGTATAAGTGAAATAAAAATTGTAATGCATTCCGCTGTAATTTATTTTTTTAAAACAATAAAAAAGAGAAAAAACAAAAAATAAAATAAAAAAGGAAGGAATTTTATGGGCAATTYTGGAACATGTTTTATGTTTATTAAGATGAAAAAAAGTCAGGATTTCAGGCTAATAATGAGCAAGAAATTTCCCTTCATCTTGGAAGTTTACTATAAATCCTTTGGATGGTCTGGAATATATGGAGCAAGATCAAATAAATGGTTGGACAGCAAAAAAATAAGACCAGGCATCGTGTTCAGCCTTCCATAAGCCTTTTGAGACCTTTGAGAGGAGAAGAAAGATGAATATATCACACCATAGACTCTGAACTACCACAGAACATCCTATCCAATGACAGGAACTTCAGATCTGGTTGCAGATCAGAATTCACCCTTAAGAGAAATACCATAGGATCAGAAGAGATTAAAATTCCAGAATTGACGTGGATGGGCTTTGGAATATTTAAATAATAATATTTCAAACACAAATTTTAATTTAGAGTTCAGATTTTTTAGACTATGAAAATGTTGATGGAGGGATGTTCATTTTAATTTTGGGGTATACTAYTGAATAAAGAGGTTCACATTAAAAGCTTACATATTTTTTAAAAGCCTACAATTTTAAATCTATTTTGAAAATAGCTAAAATATCAAAAGACTTATTTTTAATTAATTTATAAGTTARTGCTTATTTTATTAATTTAAATGTATCCAATACTAATTAAAATGCATATTAACTAGAATGCTGTTTTTATTCATTCTCATCTTTCCTAAAATAATGTTTTTCAAACTCTGTGCATCTTTGACATCAATGTCTACTAGAGGCCATTTCTTTTTTAAATGACTTACTTTATAAAATTCAGATGCTTTAAGTACATTAATTCAATGTGTTTTAATAAATTTACAGAGTTGTTCGACCATGACCATAATCCAATTTAGAACATTTCCATCTTACTCTAAAAGATCCTCGGTGACTATTTGCAGTCATGCTACCCCACTTCCCTTGAATTTACCTTGTTTCTGATTCACCGTTTCTGGCTATTTCATTCAAATGGAGTCATGATATGTGGCTTCCTGTAATCAGGCTTTTTTTAATCTGGTGTGACATTTTTGAGACTCATCTGGGTTGTAGGATATATCAGTACTTCATTCCCCTGTCTGGATAATATCCTGCTTAAGGACATACCATACTCTCTAGCCATTCATCAGTCAGTGGACATTTGGGCTGTGTTCACTTGGGGGCATTAATTAATAATACTGTTTGGGGCTGGGGTTGTAACTCAGTGGTAAAGCACTTGCCTAGCACATGTGAGACACTGGGCTCCATCATCAGCACCACATAAAAATGAATAAAAATAAAATGTCCATTAAAAATAATAATAATGTTCATCTACAGCTAATTTTTTWWAAATAATGTTGTTTTGAACAATCCTGTACCAGTCTTTGTGTAAATATATCAGGGTWACTTTTTGATAAAATTTCTAAAGCATTTCTTCTTAATTTTTATTAAGGTGAAATGTATATTATGTAAGAACTGAGTAAATACTACACAGTCCTAGGAAGGACTTCTTATTTCTCACTTGTACATACATATCTGGGATCTCTATGTGTAACTACATCAATACTATCTTCTTAAAGTTTTCTTAGGGTTGTTTTGTCTTATTTTTGAAGTGCTGASGATTGAACCCGGGCCTTGTGCATCCTAGGCAAGTGCTCTACCACTGTGCTATATTCCCAGTCCAAGATTAATTTATCCTTAATGATATCTAATACCTGCATTTGTATGATAATACCCCAGGATCAATTACTGAATCCATTTAGAAGAAGAAGAGGAGAGGGAGGAGAGGAGTGAAAGGGGTAGGAAGAGGAGGAGAAAAAAAGGAAGGAAGGAAGGAAGGAAGGAAGGGAAGGAGGGAGGAAGGAAAGAAGAAAGGAAGGAAGGAGAAAATGATTATTCCAAAGTTCCATTCAAGGAAGACAATGAACCCCAAATTCTTTGGTAAAAATGGTAACCTAAATAAAGTAAATGCCATGCTTTCTAGTATGATTTTTAACTGTTCATTAAATGAAATACAACTAGCTTGACTGCAGCAAACACTTGTAAGTGCTAGGGGCACTAGTGGTTCCTGAGAGGGCCTGAGTGGAGAGTCAGGAATGCTGGGACATTCTATAGGAGGGTGGTGAAGACCAAATACCAGGACAGAGTTTGGCAGCTACT